GCCCCAGAAGCCAAGCTGGGGCTTTGAGCACAACCAGCAGTCACAGGCCACTCAAGTCTTTGTTTCTGTATGCATGCATACTATATTTTCATTATTTTGAAGTAAGTAGGCTGCCTTTTATTTTTTTAAAGCTTCATATGTGCTCTGATTTGCAGTCTTCCCTCACCCATCCCTATCTAGTGCAGCTTTGCAGGATGTCTAGTTTCTTAGCAGGACAGGGGGCACTGCCTGAGGTTGTCTTACAACCATTCACTTCCTCAAGGAACTGGACACATCCTGGGGCAGCTCATCTCCAGCAAGACATGCAGAAACTCATGTAGAGGGAAGGGTTTTTCAGATCTGAAGGTCCTCTTCCCTTTCCAGTCCAGAAGAGAGGAGAGACTTTAGGAGAAGGTTAGAGTTAGAGCCAAGCAATAAGACCAGAGTCCTCACTGTGCTGTGTGGAGTGTGAGGAAGGAAGCCAGGACTGGTGAGCAAAACTTGGTCTGTGCACAGGGCAGATGTCTACCAAGGTGAGGTGGTCTGTGCACAGGGCAGATGTCTACCAAGGTGAGGTCTTTGAGACTTCAAATCTAAAGGAATTTCAAACACCTAAAGGAAACCATGTGTAGAGAAGCAAAGAAAAGTATGGGAACAGTGTCTCACCAAATAAACAATATCAATGAAGACAAAAAAATTATAATGAGAAACCAAACAGAAATTATGGAATTGAAAAGTACAATAATGTCAATGAAAAATTCACTAGAGGGGCCCAACAGCATATTTGGGTAGGCAGAAGAACGAATCAGTGAACTTGAAGATAGGTCAGTTGAAATTATCCACTTTAAGAAATACAAAGTAAAAAGAATGAAGAAAAATTAGCAGGGCCTCAGAAACCTGTGGGTCACAACCACGCATGCCAAATACACATCATGAGAGTTCAAGAAGGAAAGGAGAAAATAAAAGCAGTAGAAAGAATATTTGAAGAAATAATGACAAAAAACTTCCCAAATTTGATAAAAACTATTAATACACACATCCAAGAAGCTCAACAAACTTCAAGTAGGATAAACTTAAAGAGATCCATAGCTGGACACAACAAAATCAAACTGTTGAAAGCCAGAGACAAAGAATTCTAAAAGCACAGAGAGAGAAGCGATTGTCACATATAAGGGACTCTCAATAAGACTAACAGCTGATTTCACATCAGAAACCATGGGGGCCAGAAACAATGGAAGGGCACAAAGTGCTGAAAGAAAAAAGCCCTGTCAACCAAAAAATTCTATATCTGATAAAACTATCCTTCAAAAATGAAGGATAAATTAAGACAGTTCCAGATAAACAGAAACCGACAGAGTTTGTTTCTAGCAAGTCTCCCTTAGAAGAAATACTAAAAGGAGTCCTTCTAGATAAAATGAAAAGGCACAAGATGGTAATCTGAATCAATATGAAGAAATAAGGAGCACCAGTAAAAGTAATTACATAGTTAAATATAAAAGACAGTATAAATCTATTTTCTTTTTTTTCTATCTGATTTAAAGGACAACTGCATAAAACAATAATTATAAATCTATGTTAATGGGCACAAAATGTATAAAAATGTAATTTCTTTTTTTTTTTT